CTTGATGAAAATCACACTTAAATATAGTAGTTCCACTTTGAATTTTTGCTTGAACACCACTTGAGTTCGATTTCCTGAAAACCCGAATGTATTTTATATTCGTTTTTCACTTTTTGCACTCGTAATTTAAATATATCTGTAGAGCTCACTTTTGTACGCGTTTACACTTTCGTAGCCGGAACCGGAAGTCCTATTAACTTTATTAGCTATTGGAAATCCAATTGATGAACGGGAGTAGAAATGATATATTAAGCCATGTAGAGGTGGCGAAAAAGAAACCACTACCCCATTTCGTTTCGTGGGTGTCTTAAGAGGCGACAGAGGGAAACTGAAACAGGAGATGGGTAACATCTTCTTGATAACAGCGAAAAGTAAATATTTTTTTAACATCTCATATAATATGCAGATTTCCTTAGATGTTTTTCTTCCCCACCGAAAACGTGGTAAATCGAAACTTCAAATTGCAGTTAAAATATGAGGAGTCGGCGCGGATCTAATTTGAGTTGCTTGCGTACTAACTATGAAATTTACGTTTAGATCAGTTTGATTACATGCTTATACAGAGGACTTTAAAAATTTTATCAATGCAGTTCTAGTAACAGTTAAAATAAAAATAAACCCGTGTTTAAAATTTGCTTATTCAAATTATAGTACTTTTTCCCAAAACCCAGTTCATTTACTTATGTGAGCTACGCAACTGGGACTGTCACAAAAACTTTAAGTTATGTCAGAAAATATGAAAGCTATCTTAATATATGACAAACTGCTTTATAAATCTCATTAAAAGTAAAAAAGGTTGCATCAACGGTATCACGATTCACGAACTATTTCGCCAATTATCGATAAAAGTCTCATAGTCCATTTAATTTTAAATTACTTATATCGGACTTGATACAAAAACAAATTGGTGAAATATTGCTATGTCGATAATTCACAACATATTCAACTAAAGACCTCTTTTAATCAAAGTTTTGTGTACACAGTTTCGTTAGTAATTTTGCTAAAAATTGCTATTATGATAAAACATTCAGACTGTGGCCACAAAAATTGTCGGACAGGTATATACCGGTCCGACAATTTTTGATGCTGCACCAATAATTATACATTTAATAGAATTGTGTTTAATTAGACGAGTTATGTACTTATCATTGGTTTATTTAGCAGTCTACATCTACTGCATCTACTTAGATTGTTATTATTATATTAAAACTATGACAATCAAAATTTTACCCTCTAGTACTCAGACTCAATAAGTTGAAGCGCGACTGGAGTGGCTAAATCGCACAACAAAGACGCTAACATTTATATAATACATAAATTTGGCATACAATTTTCTGATTCTTTGACGACTCCGTGGCTCAGTGGCTTAGCAATGAGTGGCTGCGCTGGGGGTCGCGGGTTCGAATCCCGCACGGAACAAATATTTGTATGGCCTACAAATAGTTGTTCCGGGTCTGGATGTTTGTCCTTGTGCAATTTATGTTTGTAAACTGCCCCTACGATACAAGAGAAAATCTTAGTGTAGGGGTAACGTTTTTTAAAGAAAAAAAAATGATCTGGAATCTACTAAAAATCTGCCTTTATAAAATATACGCAATCAGCGCCGCTATAGTTCGGCCGTTCAGAGAATGTGTTCCTGACACGTCGCGATTGCACTGACGACGTAACTATGTAATGGCGTTGCAGTTACGATAAAAATATTTTTGCTGGTTGTTTACCGTTTTAATAATTGATGAGCATTAAAACAACATTATTATATCAATAATCAATGAATGTTATAATTTTGTGTCAAACTGAGTGTCAAATAACTTGATAAACAATATTTTTCTAAATCTATACTGCGCTATTACAAGATTATGTCAGCGCTTTATATTTGTAGTGCTGTGCTAACAATAACAGGCAATACAGTATCATAATCTGTTCTTATACAGTTATACTTTATAAAATAATACGTTTTGTTTTTCTTTTTTAAGAATTTGAAAATAATGGACTATAAGATAACTTTTATTAAATATAAAAATAAAACTACGACCAAACCGAACGCGCGAAAGAAAGTAGCATTTTTATATTTAGGTTGAAAATGGTAACCCCAAATGGCGTTATGGGCCGCCATTTTGTGACGCTAAAACAGTCGTCTGTTGTCGTTTCGTGCGCATAGACCACGTTCTTCAAGTGTTTTCGACCTGTTTTTATTTGATTACCCGGCTTTCGTTTAATGGACTGTTTCTGCTTTTCAAACTGACATCGGCGCTAAATCGGACTTCGATTGTGTTTTGTATTGCGTTCTTTTTATTTTTGGTGCATAATAATGCCTAAACGTGGACAAACATAGAAAAGTGGAGCCCGTGAGTTAATCATCAAGCTAAAGATTACTTTGAGCGGGAGCGGCAAAATGGCGGTTTAGTCACTCCTGTACAATAGCACCATGCTATAAGCAGGAGTGCTACTGGACCTGGGCTGACGTATCAATGTCCCGGGATGTAAACACCAGTGATCTAAAAAAGAAGTATAATTCTGCTTCGAGGTCCTTCAAAAGAGTCATTGCCAAGTCAAAGTCAGAGCACATAGGCAGAATTTGCGAGAAACTAGTTCGGCTTCCTTCTGGAACTCGTGCTTTCTAGTCTCTCACCAAGGCTGTCCAAAGGAATTTCTGTGAGCCATCTCTTTCAACTCTACACAGAGAGACGACTCACTGGCCCATGTCGATAAGGAGAAAGTCGATCTGCTAGGCTCTTTATTTCCGTCCAACTCGACTCTCGATGACGAGGGGAGTACGCCACCGATCATCCCGCGGTGTCAGTGCTCCATGACGGAGGTGCGGTTCACACAGCGCTCGGTTCGCAAAGCACTTCTCTCCCTGGACATCCACAAGTCGAGTGGGCCTGACGGAATCCCCCCAATTGTGCTGAGGACGTGTGCTCCAGAGTTGGTACCGGTTCTAACGCGTCTTTTCCGGTACTCCTACTCCCTAGGCGTAGTCCCAAAATCATGGAAGATGGCTTTCTTCCACCAGATCTCTAAAAACGACGACCACACAGACCCGTCCAACTGCAGGCCCATCGCCGCCCCTCCTTGTTCTCCAAAACAATGGGTCTATTGTAAACCGTCAGCTCATGAAGTACCTTGAGGATCACCAGCTGATTAGTGATCAAGTGATCACCAATACGGTTTTCGTCGTGGTCGATCAGCTGGTGTTCTTCTGGTCTACCTGACTCATAGATGGGCGGAGGCAGTGGAGTCCAAGGGGGAGGCATTAGCCGTTAGTTTAGGCATTGCGAAGCCTTCGATCGAGTTTGGCACAAAGCGCTTCTTGCGAAGCTCCCTTCCAATGGGCTTCCCGAGAAATTGTGCAATTGCATCACCAGCTTTCTTGCAGATCGGAGCATCAAGGTCGTTATAGACGGTGCAAGCTCCGATTACAAGCCTGTTAATGCTGGTGTTCCACAAGGCTGCGTGCTATCGCCAACGCTGTTTCTTCTGCATATCAATGATACGTTGCAAACCGGCAATATTCATTGCTATGCAGATGACAGCACTGGTGATGCTCTGTACACCGGCCGTGCCAATATTTCTCGGGAAAACGCCTCCGAGTACCGGGACAAACTTGTGTCTGAAGTCGAGTCACAAAGTCTCGGATTGGAGGCGACTAAATCTAGTCCAGTTTAACCCTCAGAAGACACAAGTATGCGCGTTAACCGCTAAAAAGAACCCCTTTGTCGTATCTCCTCAGTTTCAAGGCACTCCCCTTGTTGCCTCAGCCAGAATCGGAATCCTCGGCGTCGACATATCGAGTGACGTGCAGTTTCATGGTCACTTGGCCAAATTGGCCTCTAAAAAGCTTGGTGTGCTCAGCAGAGCAGGACAGTATTTCATGCCGGCACACTGCTTGCAACTTTACAAGGCGAAGGTTCGGCCGCACATGGAATACTGTTCCCATCTTTGGGATGGGGCCAGTGCTAGCTCCTTCCACTTGACCGCATCCAGCGCAGAGCGGCTCGAATCGTCGAAGACCGAGTGCTTTCCGATTGGCTTGATTCAATGGCGCTGCGAAGATATGTTGCATCTCTTTGCATTTTCTTTCGCATATATAACGGTTAGTGCTCTGAGGAATTGTTCGGATTAATCCCAGCCGCCAAATTTCATGAACGCACTACGCTGCAAAGCTCCCGATACCATCCACACCATTTGGATGCATGGCGGTCCTGTATACTGTACTTTTCACTAGGAGTTTTCTTCCGCGTACGACCTCTCTGTGGAATAGTTTACCACCGGCGATCTTTCCGGATCAGTACGACCTAGGGACCTTCAAGAAAAGAGCTTACTCCTTTCTAAAGGGTCGGTAACGCGCCTGCGATTCCTCTGGTGGTGCGGTTGTACATGGGTATACTCATTTGCGTCCTCTGCTATAAAAAATATAACAAAAACTAAAAAATGTACATTAGAATTTTCAAATCAATTATGAATTTAATTAATTAACTTTATAATGGCAAATGAGGCAAAATGTTTAGTAAAATGTCACTACTTTTTATATTTTACGTTAGATGGCACTGTCTTGAAAAAGTGAATACAACAATAATATCGTAGATTGTCGTCGTACGTAGTTCAATTTATTACACAACAGTTAAAACTAATTTTGGGCTTTATTTATTAATATTTTATTTATTTTCATGAAAGACATTAATCGTATAATTAACGTATACTTAAATAATAATCGTAAAATTAACATCTTAAGGAAGAAAAATACTTAACCCTCCTTTTTTGAAATTCCGTAATCGGATAAAACTTATACACAAAATTGTCAAATCTGTTCAGTAGTTGAATTCACTGCCCTTTAATTAGTCCCGTGGACTTGTTTTTTCCATAAAATATTAGAGATGTGTTAAATAAAGCTACATCAGATATCTAGTAAATTGATCGCCAATCAGCCTAATACGGCGTTTATTAAGCGTGTATGACTTTTTTGTAACATCTTTGTAAAGCCTGTGGTTAAGAAACCTCACCTGTATAATTCCAGTAATATTGTCGATAACAAATAGTTCGGAGTTCTCTCCCTTCAGGAGATATCTCACTTCGGAGTAACCCTTGTGCTTGTCTTCATCAGTCAGCACGAGGTCTGCATCAGTTGCTTTCACAGTCAGTATCTGTTCCGGGTACCCCACGGACTCCAAAACGCTCACTTTGTACAACTGTAAATTGTTAAATTGAATAAGTTTTTTTAATTGTCCCGGAAAATATGCAGGGTCTATCTGACACACACATTATGCAATAATTGCTACTGCAGCGCACTATATTTTTTATAGTAAAAGTGTGACAAACGAGCACAGTCCACCGTCACGTGTTAAGTGGTATCTGCAGCCACTAGACATCTGCATCTACCATCCATTACGAATCAACATACAGATGCGTTATCACCCGAGAGTACTAGGATGTAATGTTTTGTTTCCAGAAAAAGGGGTATTCCGATTATCTACACTCACCATACGAAAGAGAGCAGCGTTTAATTGCTATTTTATACTGGTATTCTGTGAGGGCATGATCCTTCTCCGGTCCAATTCACCCATTCATTCCACAACTATACTACTAACAACGCTGTAGCATAGCTCTACCACGTAAAAAATATGCACCGCGATGTTACCATTTTTGAAAATAGCTAAGATGTTAAAATATAGACGAGTTTTTCGACCAGTGTCAGTTCACCATTGAATTCCCAAGGCTACCATGTCAATGAACACAGCTGCAGAGGTTTTTAAGATCTGTGTGCAACCTTTTGGAGTGTCGAAGGCTTCTGGTTCCAAACCGTAAGAAATAGCAAAGATATTAAAATATAGACGAGTTTTTCCACGATTGTTCGTTTATTGGGAACCGTTTAAGTTCAGGATTGGTTTAGTAGAGGCATACGATAAGTACGCAGAAAATATCAGTGCACTCAAACAATTTGAAGATATTTTTTATTCAAAATCATACTGACCTCCTTTTCAAATATAGGCGGATTGTCGTTGATATTGACAACTTCAATAATAATTTTCGCATTACTATGTTTGCTTCCATCGTTACTAGTCGCCTGTACAGTTAACGTCAGATTTGGTGTAGTCAGTTCTTCGTAATCCAGATGTCTAGTTAAAACAACTTGTCCACTCAATGGATCCACTTGAAGGAGTCCAGTCTCTGAATTTATAACTTTAAAATTTGAAATGAGATGACCAGATACAGGGTCTTCAGCCATTAGGACTAACACAGTGCTGCCAATCGGTTGGTCTTCCTTCACTTTATGGTATATCACTGGTTTTGAATTAGTCCAACCTGGGTTTGTGAATTGTGGATTTTTATCATTATAAGGTTGGATGTAAATTGTGTGCTCTACAGTTGCGAATTGGTTTTCTTTGTTTATCTCCGCATTTATATCAGTCACCTTGACTGTCAATATCACAATTGACACTTGGCTATAATCTAACGTTCCGTTGACAAAAATCTCTCCAGTGTCTTCATCTATACGAAAAATGGTTTTGTAGTCATACGGTGTGTTTGATTTTAATTGAATTCCAGCTTTAGACAACGCTTTTATAGGTTCCACTATACTGTACTTTAATTTTGCGTTAGAATCAGTATCGTAAGCGTCGATCTTTGTAACAACGTTGCCAACTTTAGTTCTTTCGGATATATATGTTGTAGTTTGGGTAGTGTTAAATTTGGGGGGTTTATCATTGACGTCTTGTACGGTGACAAAAACGGTAGTGGTGGCGGTTTCTGGAATAGGGACACCGCTGTCGACAGCAGAGACTATGATTTCATATCGGTCGGGGTTTAGATCTCGGTCTAGGTTTGCATCACTTGATATTGTTATAACACCGGTTCTGAAATATGTTAAGTTATAGTTATGATAAGTTTATAAACAAGATAAATGTGAAATATATTGACATTTATATAAGTGAAGAAATTTTTTTTTATCTTCACGTATTAATGTACGTACTCCTTTTTAAGCAAATTGTACGCACAGAGTAATGTTAGACGGAGGAGCACAAAAAGCATTTTTTTAATTAAATATGTGCTATAAATATGTACCTTAAATTTAATAAAATAAAACATTCGTCGTTTACGTTCGTACTGCCAATGTTAAACACATAGTCTGTGGTGGATTGTCGCCAAAGAATGTTAAGATGTTCCCAACAAACTGAATGAGCTGCCAATTTTGTGTGATTTTATATGTTCATTTTAGTCAGTGGAATGTATGTCAAAGTAAAAAGCGTTTATATTACATTTTTCTCAGTTTCTTCTATATTCGTTGAAGCATGTACCCATGTCAAAAAGGATGATTGGATAAAAGTGGTAAAAAAATGATATTGATTATGGATGACATTGAAAGACATTAATTTTAATGATTTCTTAAATTTACCCGAACACTACACATTGAATAAAACTATTATTTACGGATTTTATCGCGTTTAATTACTTTAATTTATTTTTATTTTTATTATTATCCCGACGTTTCGGGTGCTTTACAGCGCCCATGGTCACGGGGGGGGACTGAGATGTTTGACGTCCCAATGTCATAGTTAGTCCGGCTACCTTCAGTTTTTTAATATTAATTTTTGGTCCGATTTACGCAAAACGAGCTTATAGTATCATGAAGTCTTGCAGTGGTATGCTTGGGTTTGGGTTTAATTTTGTTAATTATAGGATCCCAAGCAGATGGTAGCACCCAACCATCTTCTCTATTGAAATTTGGATGTTTTTTAATTTCAATAGCCTCGCGTATCATCCTTGGTAGGAATCGGTGTTCTTTTGCGAGAATTTGTGGTTTATCAAATCTAATGTAATGGTGGGGACGATCTTGAACATGTTCGCAGACTGCAGACTTCCCGGAGCGTCGGTGCTTCACATCAGCTATATGTTCCTTCACGCGGGTTTTTTATAGATCTCTTTGTTTGACCTATGTACGAGAGACCACATTCACAATCTAACTTGTACACACCTGCATCTTGTAGAGGAATATTACATTTGATGGATGGTAAAAATTGACTAATCTTCTTCAGCGGCTTGTAGTATGTCTTAATGGACGCTCGCTTCAAGATGTAGCCAATTTTGTCCGTGACTCCTCTGACATATGGTAGTAGAGCAGGCGCGCGCTCGACTGTGGCCGGCTTCACTCGTTCACTGTGACGTAGGCGCGGGACCCGAAGCTTGTTGTCTTGCAATACTTGCTTGACGTGCTGAAGTTCGGCGGCCAGATGTTTTCTGTCACAGATCCCTCGTGCTCTCTGAAACAAAGATTTACCCACGGTAGCTAACTGTGAAGGATGATGGTGAGATTCACCATTTAAATATCGGTTGGTATGGGTCTTTTCCTATACACAGTGTGACCAATAGTGTTATCAGGATTTCGGATGACTAAAACATCTAGGAAAGCTAAAGAATTATTTGCCTCTAACTCCATTGTGAATTGTATTTTAGAGTTTATGGAGTTAAGGTGGTCTAAAAATGCAGTTACTTTGTCAGATGGTAAATCAGGTCCGAAATCCTGATAACACTATTGGTCACACTGTGTATAGGAAAAAGACCCATACCAACCGATATTTAAATGGTGAATCTCACCATCATCCTTCACAGTTAGCTACCGTGGGTAAATCTTTGTTTCAGAGAGCACGAGGGATCTGTGACAGAAAACATCTGGCCGCGGAGCTTCAGCACGTCAAGCAAGTATTGCAAGACAACAAGCTTCGAGTCCCGCGCCTACGTCACAGTGAACGAGTGAAGCCGGCCACAGTCGAGCGCGCGCCTGCTCTACTACCATATGTTAGAGGAGTCACAGACAAGATTGGCTACATCTTGAAGCGAGCGTCCATTAAGACATACTACAAGCCGCTGAAGAAGATTAGTCAATTTTTACCATCCATCAAATGTAATATTCCTCTACAAGATGCAGGTGTGTACAAGTTAGATTGTGAATGTGGTCTCTCGTACATAGGTCAAACAAAGAGATCTATAAAAACCCGCGTGAAGGAACATATAGCTGATGTGAAGCACCGACGCTCCGGGAAGTCTGCAGTCTGCGAACATGTTCAAGATCGTCCCCACCATTACATTAGATTTGATAAACCACAAATTCTCGCAAAAGAACACCGATTCCTACCAAGGATGATACGCGAGGCTATTGAAATTAAAAAACATCCAAATTTCAATAGAGAAGATGGTTGGGTGCTACCATCTGCTTGGGATCCTATAATTAACAAAATTAAACCCAAACCCAAGCATACCACTGCAAGACTTCATGATACTATAAGCTCGTTTTGCGTAAATCGGACCAAAAATTAATATTAAAAAAACTGAAGGTAGCCGGACTAACTATGACATTGGGACGTCAAACATCTCAGTCCCCCCCCGTGACCATGGGCGCTGTAAAGCACCCGAAACGTCGGGATAATAATAAAAAAAAAATAAATTAAAGTAATTAAACGCGATAAAATCCGTAAATAATAGTTTTATTCAAGACATTAATTTTGATGCATTATTGAAACTTAAATAATAATTAATCTAAACAACGACAGCTCAACTAGTTGTACTGAAAGTGATTGAATTTTATTTTTAATCTAGTTTAAATCTTAAATTTTTATAACTGTGCCTCTAGAAATAAGCAGTAACTACAAATATGAAGAAACTGATAAATCGTTCGTTTTAAATTATCCGTTTTTAATTTATTCTGGTATTATTAAAACCAAACTGTAAATGATTACCCACTCTAAATAATCGATATCGATTTTTTTAAGAATTGAATATTGCACGATCTCAATTTTTGGTTGGCATGCTTGGTGCAAAAAGTCTGACAGCTGTCAAAATGTATTTCTTAGATTTGGTTGACTATAATTACAAAAAAAAAGAGTTATAGTTGCATTTCGGCCACAAGATACCACTAGTTATAATAATTGTTTAAAGGTTTAAAAATTTACGCATACATGCGTCTAGTATAAACTTACTTCTCATCAATAACGAAATTGTCCTTCGAGCCGGATACAATATGGTATGTAAGTAAATCGTCCAGACCATCCGGATCGTTTGCTAAAACGGTAGTTACTTTATGTCCAGGAGGAGAGTTTTCCTTCACAGCAGCCTGATAGTTCATAGGATTGAGTTCAAGGGATAACTCATCGTTGAGAGCAGGTTGGTGGCCTACTGTGTAGTGATAGTGATGGTAGTTGCCTTTGAATGTGGGCCGTTGATTGCCGGGAACACCCACTCGGATGTATACGCGAGTGTCATTATGAAGGGGTGGAGTTCCTGTAATGATTTCAAAAGACTTGATTTCAAGGTTATGATAGTCTTTTAGTCTACTCTAGAAACTTATTTTTTTCTATACAATTTTCAGTAGTCTTTCATAGGGTTACCATTATTATACGATACAATACGATATCTAATTTAGACCTAATAATGACGATCTCCTCCTAGCCGTTAACCATAGTGACAACTTCCGAATAATCGAAAACTATCAAATGCGCAACTAATATTGAAGAATATTAGTTGCGCATTTGTATGTGCATGAAGTAGAAGTACTTTATTTACATCAGCACGTAAAATTCTTAACTGTTAGATACGTAGTTGTAGGGAGGATATGACTTAATTTTCATGCTTGGCAGTTGGATAGAGAATCGCAGTAACAGTCGTCTTGCACTATAGGAGTCGTTCTCCGTCGACGCTCCGGGTATTTCTGAGATGAGGAGATAGTTTTATCGTCATCTATCAGAGCCGTATGATTTTGTGGCATTTTTCATAGACGCTTATTACGAACATAGCGTGATGAATTCGGTTAATGAATCCTCTTAAACCACCCCAAAAGAGAAATTCTCTTCAAATTTAAATTAGCGCGTCATTGACGTATGGCCAATTTAATAATCATTGAGATCAGTTTACAATTAACTAAGGTATGTCAATACAAGATACAAAAAAAAAACATTCGAAATGAGAACTTCTGATCATCATTAATAGAGTTACGTGCACAATTACAACACGAACACACCCAAAAAATCAACCATTTTTGTTTTTATCTAAATGATGGTTTCACTCAAGATCTGCGACGTAGTAACCATGTATTCTAACGACCAAGCCAGAATTTTTTTTATTATGTGCGAGCAGCTATGCAGATCTAGGGAAGAGACCAGTATCACTGCGACCTAGAAGATCTATTATGATCGCTGCTATGGCTATAGTTCACTGCTAAGCCTGTCTTCAATGAATAGAAGGAATAGCTTAGCTGTGAACAATTTCGCTTCTTCTGGGCGGAGTAGATAGTTTCCCAGATGAGTGTTACGTTTACGCAGTAATGGTCCGCAATCAGTTCGGATGTGCAGGGCGTTTCTTCCGTTACGGAACAGAACCGACACATCCTTGAGTTGCTTAGTCCCAGGATGGACATATGCTTTTTAAGACAACAGTGTCCAGTTATCTGTCATGTCTTGGCAGAATGCGCAATTTATTTTTACTTAATCCCAGGGCTTCTGAAGCGAATTTACGATCAAAAGCCCGGGTTAAGGTGACTCTAGTCGACATTATTTCCATAGAAATTTCAGAGGGGTTTTACTCCGCTGTTTGACAGTGTACATCCAAAGTTAAACATGATATCGTTTTGTCTCATTATTAATTTTGTCTGTACCGAAACAGAATAGTAAAATAAAAAGTCAGTAAAAAGTTACGAGCTACCAAAGATTCGTTTTTATTGCCAATTTTAACACAACTTTGGGCGTAAATTAGTAATAAAAGCAGTGTAAAATTTCCAAAACAAAGTCGGTACCGACACAGCTCAATTATCGAAGAATTCAATAAATTTTATTGGTAATTGATTCATGCAGTCGTTTTTTCGTAAAACCCCTCCTTCCAAAGGCCTTTTCGTATTTTTTTTACGCGCGCGTGTTTATGTGAATTATCGTGCATCTCACTGAATAATGTTTCCCCCCGGTGCGGTGCGGGAGGACGACACTTACACACACATGCATGCGCGGTGACGCGCGCTTATTCTAGTTTTATTTTATTATAATATAGACTCAGTCAGCTAGTGATGGGTAACTCATCATTTTTATATGAGGTTGAGGGAGCACCTTGTTTTACCTCGCGAGGTCCTCACGAGGGACCCCTCATTTGAGGCGAGGTATCGTACGTCAGCGTATTCAATTCACCTCACGAGCCGAGCCCGAGCTCGAATCGAACTCAGCCGATTGTCCGAGGCAGCGGCAAGCGAGGCGGACGGGCGCGTCGATTCACGATTCCGATTTTTACGTCTCCCTCACACACGTTATTTTCTTTCGCTCATGAATTCCGCCAAAATAAACGAATCAATGACACTTGAATAAAAATCTAATGCTTATGTTTTTAGAGTTCATAGTTAAACGTTTAGAGATTCATAATAATAGCAGAAATAAAAATATTTTCTCTATTAATTCGTTTTGAGTAACTAATAATGTTACTTTACCTATGTTGACCTTGGAGGTGCACGTGTGGTGAAGTAATTGTTGATATTGTTGTGATTGTGAAAAACGCGTTTTTTCCAATACGATTATTTTTTACTTTTTATCCTTGATCTCAATTAATACACTCAGTTTATTTGCTTCGTGTGTTTTATTTACCCTGCAACTCATTTCACACAATTTTTTGTATCTCTTCTTAATTTAAATAACATCCTACCAAACATCAGTATCACACACACATACACACACCAAACATCATTATTTCATTAAGTACATAACACAATCATAATGTTTAATGTTTTCAAAATTTCGATTCCTCACCTCACTCATTCTCTAATTTATTCTGTACTGTAAATATGGATTTCTAAGTCGGTTCATTCGCTCGCTAAGCTCACTCAATCGCGATGCTCGCGAGTCGCGAGTACTCGTGTCAATAATGTCTATGTCAATTTTTAAGTGAGGACGCGTGAACGAGTGAGGTGGTTCAATGTTGAAAATCGAGTAACTCTTTCAATTTGCGATCACGAGTACCTCAAACGAGGCACCTCATGAGTGAGGGGCACATCTCTACAGTCAGCTGCGGCCTGTGACGTTCGTATGACTATAGCTATACCTGCGCTCTAAATTACTACGCTACATTGACCCCTGCTTGTACTTTGTATTAAATTAAATTGATAAAAGAACATACAAAAATAGAGGAATATATAAATAAAATTTTGAAAAAAAAAAACGATCTCAAAATTTTATTAATGTTCCGCTAATTTTATCTGTACTTACCTATGTCAATTTGATTTACATTCGATTATAATTATATTCTCAGACGTGCAGGTTTCCTCAATATGTTTTCCTTCACCGCCGAGCACGTGGTAAATCAGCACAATTGCAATTAACAATTTCATTGGTACCGGCGGGGATCGAACTCGGGTCTGCATGTCTGAGAAATTAAAAAATATATATTTCGAAGAAATGTGAAGTTCGCCAACACGCATTGAGGCAGCGTGGCGGACATTTCCTTGCCTTAAAACCCTCTCAGAAATTAGAGGAGGCCTGTGCCCAGCAGTGGGACGTATATAGGCTGTAACTTTACTTTTTTTTACTTTTATAAATATGTTATTTTACCGACGAAAATTTTAAAGAAAAATAAAAAATAAGCAACCGACAACCTCCTAGGTCCCTAGGTGACTTGCGAGATGTCAGTGTAACAAAACAAAACGGCCCAGAAAAACAGACTTTCCAACTGATAGATAAATCAGCACGCAACAATTTCATTGGTGCCAGTGGGGCTCGAACCCGGGTTGCTCCCGTACTGTGATACCTATAACGAGCGCTAACCATGTGAGCTACCACGGCTCTCAACGACATCGTTCCGTTCGTGTACAGCGCTGAAGATAGCAGAGTAAAAATGTGTTTTGTGTTTGAAATTTTACATATAATAATTTACCTCGAAATTCACTATACGCGATTATCGTTTATTGATTATATTATGTTGTTTAAAAAGTATTCCTATCAGCTTTGTGTTAAATGGATGCTAAATATAAAAGAATGCTTCAATATTGATAGCAATTTATAAACGAAATATCTGTTGAGATGTGTCTAGAAATTATTAATACTTATTTTTATTTATTTATTAAAATAATAAATAAATAAAAATAAGTATACATTTATCTATATTGAGTACTAGTTTTTCCCCGCGATCTCGCCCGCGTGGAATATGGATTTCATGGGTTTTAATTTTTTTGCGCGGAACCCTAATTCTTTTTCTAAAAGAAAAGTAGTTCAAGTTATTCCTTATATCATCAGCTATCTGCCAGTGAAAGTCCCGTCAAAATAGATCCAGCTCTTTCGGAGATTAGCTGGAACAAACAGACAGACAGACAGACCGACAGACAGACAAAAATAGTACTTTCATATGCATTTAATAAAAAGCTGTTATTTTAACATTACAAACAGACACTTCAATTTTATTTATTTGTAGATATAGATATAAGATATTATTCATATTGGTGTCATTTTAAAGGGAATATCATGTACTATTATAATAATAAAATAATTGTCTCCAGTTAATATTATACTTTTCTTGTAAAACTCGAAATAAGTAACAAATAAATACGATTTATTTTTATATTCCCATATGCTTTATTTTCATCCTTTATTTTTTATTTGACCAATTTTCTTTTAATAAAATTAAATTCTGAATTCGTTGAGCTTTTTTGAGAATATTTTTATTTGAATGTTAGGTAGGTACCTATTTAGTTTTACGGTAGTAATCGTTTTTGTTGCGACAGTCTCCCGCGGTCGTAAAAAAAGTTACTGCGCGGACAGGTGGGACGAGAATCACTTGCGCGGCGTGCACGGTGGATAGGTAGTCTACCTACTGTTATTACCTAGATACCCACAACCTATACAACAAAATTTGGTAAACTGTCGCTGCGTCGTGGAAACTAAAATCTAAACTGCCTACCTACCTGCCTAAGTACGTCGGTACTAAGGAAACAGTCTTGAACGGGTCACTTGTCTTGATAAAAACATGTGTTTACATCTAGTGATATTGTGTGTATATAAAACAAAGTAAGAAGACAGGTAAGTATTTTTGAAGACAATTTATAGGTAGGCAGAACTAATTACAATTATTATCTAAATATTATAAATGCGAAAGTTTGGATGGATAGATGTATGTTACTCAATCACAGCTGAAGGGATCTGGATGATATTTAGCTCATAGATAGGTTATACCTGGTCTGGAATAACACATTTGATACCGTTTATTCAGGTATTTCGTTCCTGTGGGATAATTTTCGAGTTCACGCGTTTGAAGCCGCTGGCAACAGCTAGTACGGATATAAACTGCGATGACTGTTCCAGTTCATGCTTCGGCGTCGTGAACTCTTGAGTGATCGCTGCATGACCACCCGGGGAAAACGAAACATAATAAAATAAGCAATCTATATTAGGTATCTATAGTTTGTAGGTAGGTACTGCTGATTTCTTAGCAAGCGTCGAGCGGCACAGAATAGGGTGGTATGTATGTGTGCATCGTGTTCGTGTAACTTCGTTTTTGTTCTAACGGTTCGGAACGCCGTACGAACAAGACGTGCGTTCTAACTGCTCTTCACTGGTACTATCTCTGTCGGGCACGATGCCAGGTGAGACAACGTGCTTTTTGGCCGCGCCCACCAATGAGTTCGAGCCCTCGACTAGTGCCACCTTAAGGTTTTAGAATGTTTAAAGCCTGGTGTGTCACACCAGATCTGTGATTTATTGTGATAGAGTTTCAAGGGTCAATCCGTGTCTAGGCTTCTTGAGATTCCACAAAATGGCTCAGGTCCAAATTGTGTGCTGTTTGAGCCCTCCCGTGCAAGTTTGTCGGCAAATTCGTTGCCTACAATACCCTCGTGACCCGGAACCCATCTTAAAACGACCCTGTTGTTACATCCCAGGGCGTTTAAACGGTTCACGCAGTCTCCAACTAGCTTCGAGTTCACTAAGTTTGACCTCAGCGCTAGCAGTGCTGCTTGACTATCAGAGTTTATGTAAATTATATGGTTGACTTAGTATTTTTGCAGATTGATTTCCGCACACCGAAGTATGGCATGGTATAGAAAATTTCTACCTGGAAGATAGAGGTATATCTATCCAAATTCATACTAAGTTTGAATTGGGGCGTTCCCCATAAATTCCAAAGCCTACGTCGAGGCCCATTTTAGACCCAAAAAGCCAGAATTTACAAAGAAATAAAGCAACAAATTCCTTATCCTTACCATAATCAGTAGCTCTCACAACCAACTCATACTGCCCTCTTGGTGTATCCATAGTTTGCACTTTGTCAAGAATACTAATTTCTCCAGAGTCCTCGTTCACTGCAAATACCTGTCCTTTGCGTGTGATGCTATTGTCTGATACAAGGGTATAACGCACACGACCGCCACCTTGTGTTGGCCCGTCTATGTCTGTAGCCTAAGAAAAAATACTGATATTAGTTAAATTATTTTATATATGAAATATACTATATTTGATGCATAATATCTGGGTAATTAATTTGAGAGTGCAATCTTGTGCACTCTTATGTTGATTGCCCGTAAAAGCTCTAATCTAGCCTAAACAATCAGTAAGCAGAAGTAGTAATGGACAGCCACACAGGTCGTAGGTTTTTCATTAAGAACTTCGTATAGGAAAGTGCAATGTTCGGTATCCAATCACCCACTGCAGTGATAACTTGATAAAACAATCAGGGATTAAAGGGATGCAATGGGCTAAGTGACCGACAGAGCCCAACTGATTAGTAAGCTGAAGTGGCAATGGGCCGGCCATATAGCTCCAAGAACCGACAACCGTTGGGGAAAAAAGGTTCTACTAGATAAAGTGACGACCTGGTAAGACATGCAAGAAGTCGGTGGATGCAGATTATTTTATATAGGATAGGGTGACAAACGAGTACACAGTCCACCTGATGGTAAGTAGTTGCTTCAGCCCATAGACATCTACATCTATCCTCGATTACAAATCAAAATGCAGATATGTTGTCACCCATGAGGATTAAGATGTGCCTCGTCTCCAGTAAAAAGAGTCTCCGGTTCTCTACACTCACCATACGAAACACAGCAGTATTAAGCTACCATTTTACGCTGGTATTCTGTGAGAGCGTGGTCCTTCCCCGGTCGAGCCGACCCATTCGTGCTACAACTAAACTACTTATATAACTGCTGCATGGCTCTACTACGTATAAAAGGTAATAAGCTCATAAGAGGACTCTGCCATACTCGCCATGCTTGGCAGACCGGTTGGCAACCGCAGTTTTAAATTAAAGATGTTGAGAATTACCTAGCTAAGATCCGCGTCATAAAGTAAAATGATGTGTAAACCTATTAAGAAGAGCATTGCGCCCTCTCTCGATTGCATGCACAACCCTCACCTCCACTAATCCCTGCACCACAACTCGCCAACACCACTACACTAGAAAATACACACCGCCGTCGATAATGGGGAGCGCAGAAGGTGCTCTTTATACTAGTTAAGACGCATAATTTTATTTTATTACGTATTTTAGTTAATTCATTTTTAACCTCCCATTACCATAAGTGGTATATTTTTATACGTGGTAGAGCCACGCTGCAGCTATATTATGGTTGTAGCACGAAAGGGTCAGGCCCGTTCGGTGAAGGACCACGCTCTCACAGAATACCAGCGTGAAATAGCAGCTCGATGCTGCTGTGTTTCGTATGGCGAGTGTAGAGAACCAGAGACACGTTTAACTGGATTCGAGGCATTCCATCTTAGTCATCAGGGGTGACAACGCATCTGCATACTTATTCTTGATCGAGGTTAAACGTAGATGTCTATGGGCCACAGCATCCACTTACCATCAGGTGGACTATGTGCTCGTTTGTCACCCTAATATTATAAAATAAAAAAATCTATCAAAAGGATTAATAATATTCACCAACTTGTAGACGGCCAATTGATTTGGAAATTTGTATTCATATAAACGACCAATGACAATACAATATTTTAGTGACTATGACTTAATGTTCTCACCAGAATCATCACAAATTATAATCAAAGTGTGTTCTTTAAGTTTTTTTCTTAACTGTAATATTATTTGTATTTAACCTTCACAGTCGCTAACCTTGGCACAATATAAAAATATTAATAAGTTAATAAAAAGCATTTATACGCCACAAAATATACAGTGTCCAGTTTCAGTGTCCCTTTGCCGCCTCTAACGACAGCCAAGAGACGATCTGGGGTAGTAAATACTTTTATTCCGCCACTACACAGCAAAGTAAAATTGGAAAAAACATGTAGAAGCATCAATAAAGTTATTGTTTGAGTTGAGTAAGAGTTTAAAAAGGACATGCAATTTTTATGTATTTCAAGTAAATGCGTAAACTTATTAAACTCACCCTAACAACGAACTGAGGTTCAAAACTTGTAGCTCCATCTCGTATAGTTCTACTGTACTCCGCAGCCTCAAAAACGGGGGCATTATCATTCGCGTCCATTACATCTATAAAAATACTCGTACTGGAAGCCTTACCGCCGCCATCTTTAGCGATCAGCGTAAGGCTGTAACTTTTTTGCGTTTCATAATCTAAAATACTGGCAACATACAGACCACCTCTAGTTTTATCGGTCTTAAACAAATTCGATCCAAATCCAGTCAAGGAATATTCTATTTCACCAAAAATACCGTAGTCTTTGTCCGTTGCTTGAACATTACCAATTTTAGTGCCCACCGGAGAATTTTCCATTATATAGAATTTGTAATTGGACTCTTCGAAAGAAGGAGCATTATCATTCACATCTAGAAGTTTAACGTTAACTCTTGCTGATGATAATTCTATATCATTTAGTGATGTGACGATATCGAAACTAAAATATCTCTTGTCTTCGTCGTCTATATCGTAATCGAGACGTGAGGAATCTTTGACTTTTATACTTACTGGCGTTCGTCCTTCACCATGATCAATGCTTAAAGAGAATACGCCGTTCGAATTGTAAATATCGCGTAATTTCAAATCATATTTACTGTTTTGACCGATATCAATGTCTTCAATGTAAATCGATAGCCCGGGTATAGGGCTACCGTTTTCAATGTTTTCCGGTATTGATACATCGTATACGTCTTGATTAAATATCGGCACATGATCGTCAACGTCTGTTACGATTATTGTGATAGGTGTCACTGTATAATCTGATGGTACTTCGTTATTTATTAATTCTGTTGCCTATAAAGAAAGTATAGAGTTTATTACTATAAATTTAGTACGGAGACTCGTAATTATTAATTGAGGTGGGCCGAATATTAGTTTTATAGCAGGCATATTCGGCAAGTTTACCGAATTTTCGTATTCGGCCGAATATTCGGCTAAAACACCGAATATTCGTTAAAGTGGTACTCAAAGTATCCAATGTATGAAAATGTACGAATTGAGTAATGCCATGTCTTTCATCATTTAACTGTTGAAAGTATATTTATTTATGGGTTAAATCTATTTGTATAACGATATGTTTTTGAGGCACTGTAGAATTATTTCCAATTATAACAAATAGAAAGCTGGATAAAATTTTGTTTGGAATCAAACAAAGAAACATTACGTTACAGTCGTCAGTTTCTCTAAAATTGGTCCAAATAGTAGATCTCCTGCCACTCATTTTCATCACATACCTATCAATTTTCACTAACAATACTTTTTTTCTCACAAAAATAGTCAAAACATAAGCATGAGCCGGCAATTTACTCAGTACTAGATGACGCAATAACATGTCAGGTGTGGCGGGGGAGTAAGGGGAAGGCTCTGGCGGTTATCCCGCGCGCTTTACGGTAACAAGTTTCGACATAAATTGGTTACGTACCTCGGTAATCCTGCCGAATAATATTCGGCCGAATATTCCGTTCGGTAAAATTTTACCGAACGTTCGGCCGAATATTCGTATTCGGTGTTATCCATATTCAGCCCATCCCTAATTATTAATAGTTTATTGTTAGATCTTTTAATTTTTTTTCACATAGAATGGTAGATAAAATAATTTCATAGGTAAGATTACTGTAATATACCTAAAAGTTATTACAGTAAAGTTACAGCCTATATACGTCCCACTGCTGAGCACAGCACTCCCCTCATTTCTGAGAGGGTTTTAGGGCAAGGAAGTGTCCGCCGCATTGCCCCAATGTGTGTTGGCGAACTTCACACGTCTTCGATATATTTTTTTCAGACAGATACGCAGGTTTCCTCACGATGCTATCCTTCACCGCCGAGCACGTGGTAAATCAGCACTTAAAATTGCAATTAATTTCATTTGTGCCGGCGGGGATCGAACCCGGGTTACTCGCTTTCTGTTATATTTACAGCGAGTGTTACCCATCTGAGCTACCACGGCTCTCGTCCTTACAAGCACAAAGAGTCCATCACACAAAAAGCAACTTTAAAAATATGAAAGTTCGGATCAAAATTTATTTTTAGTATGCTATCTAGTTTGTATGTAATTTTTTTAACAAGCAACTGCAATTTTTGCTAAAATAGTTGTTGTGATGAGAACATACGTCATCCTTTCTTAACAATGTCCAGTTAGGGCTCTTGCCTAAATGCGCAATTAGTTTTTACTTAATCCCAGGGCTTTTGAAGCGAATTTACGATCAAAAGCACGGTTTAAGGTTTTAGAATGTTTTAAGCCTGCTGTATCAGACCAGATCTTAAGAAATTTATTGTGATAAAGAGTTTCAAGGATCAATCGGGCGAGGCTTTTTATATTCCACAAAATGACTGAGGTCGAAATTATGTACTCTATGAGCTCGTCTTTATATAATATAAAGCAAATTGTAGACAGAAATATCGAATCTAGACAAAACTTATATTTTGCGACATTAAAATTATTATTATTTCCCTATTTACGCTTGTATCTGTACCTATATCCAAACACCTCTGTGTTTTTTTATAAGCATAAACAATCAAATTATGAAATTTCTTAACCAAATTTAAATTCTTAAAAAAAGTTAAATTCCATTATTAGATGAGTAAATGATAGGGGTGATTGGGGAACTCGCAATTCATGGCCTCAGGGAGGAAGGAGTGCCTCAAAACCAGCGCTTCATGGGATCTTAGTTCCATGTAAGCAAAAGCTAAGTCATCTCAGTTTGCTTAAATTCAATTTTTTTTAAAACTTTACCCATACACTACGATTTCCTCCTCTATTGTGGAGGCAGCTTATATACGTAAATTGCACAAGGACAAACATCCAGACCAGAAACAATCACTTGTAGGCCATACAAATACTTGTTCCGTGCGGGATTCGAACCTGCGGCGCTCAGCGCTGTAGCTCATTGCTAAGCCACTGCGCCACGGAGCCGTCAGAATTATTACTTAGTTTATATGTAAACATGTTTTTAATGTGGCAATAAAGTGATATTTGTTTATTTATTGCATTTTTAGTACTTAAATATAATACAGAATTTTTCGTTATAATCTAATTCTGGTTGTACCAAAATACACTGTTATTACTCTAATCAATATTCCTTTAAATAATGATTATATATATTATTCTGTTCTGATCATCATCGTTGACAGAACTTTTTGCTGGCCCCTATATCAAACTGTTGATGATAAATTCTTATAAAGTAATGATATACTTACCTTTACGTAAAACCCATAAACTCCGCCATTTTGCATAACGACATCACTTTCTCTATCAACCGGTATATCCGAAGCAACCAACGTTGCGCGGCCGATGGGTCTCTCTGGTATTAACTTGAAGTACTGCATTGAATCGCCCTCCAAGGTAAGTAGCACTGGTCGCGGGTTCGCCGTATCGCCGTCTTTCGCAATAATTTCCATTATGCTTGTATTCTGGAATTTGTTATTAAATATAAAATTATTTGCGTTTTTGTTTTATGTCGGTACATTTAACAGTTCATGTGTGTGTTTCCAACATTAAAGAGTTTGCTACTTCGTTCAAACGAAGCTAGCCGCTAAGCATCTATCACAATGCAGCTCATAAGTTCTCGGAATATTTCAGACTTGGCTCTAGCTTTCATAGCACTGATTGCGATTCAAAATTTTTAAAAATATAGAATAAGGGTGACAAATGAGCACACAGTCCACTTTATGATAAGTGGATGCTACAGCCCACATCTTCATCTATTCTCAATTAAGGATCAAAATGCAGATACGTTGTCACCCCTGATGACTAAGATGGAATGCCTCGTTTCCAGGAAAAGAGGTCTCCTGTTCTCCACTCTCACCACACGAAACACTGCAACATTCCTGTTTAACGCTGTTATTCTGTGAGAGCGTGGTCCTTCCCCGGTCGAGCCGAGCCATTCGTGCTACAAGTATAATATAGCTTCAGTTGGTTCTACCACTCATGTATTTGTAATTAAATATAAAATATTTTATATTTTTGTATTAAAAAGATTGATGATTTTTATAATCTTATTAAAACTGCCGGTACAATTAAAAGTTTGTGTGTGTTTCCAACATTCAAGTATTTGCTACTTCATCCAAACATAATTAGGTGCTAAGCATTATCATCATAAGTGGTCATAAATTGTTGGAATAGAGAGTTATACCTCGCTTTGACTTTCATAGTATTGAGTTGGATCACATACAATTGTACATCGCAATTGTAAGTGCTGAAATATCACGTGCTCAGTGAAGGGAAACATCGTGAGGAAACATGAATATCTGAAGAATTAATATCTCAAGGATGTGTGAAAACACCAATTCATATTTCAAAACCATTAGCGTACGTGAAATTGTGTAATGGTTGGGAGCTCATTGTGGCGACGATTTTAAGAATCAGTCATTTTTCGTTGGAATACAACAGACCAATTATTGTTGAATATTACAAAAATTGTTAGAATTTAACATCTGTGATTTTTACAATTTGCAATTTTATATAAAAAGAATCTCACGCCTTATCTTCTATTTTTTAATGTTTTAATAGTAAATCCTTATTTTTTTATTTGAATATGCACTACTAACTACGCATGTATGCGTAGGTATATGGATGTGGAAGAGGCGAGAAAGGTATGTCAAGATCGTGCTAAATGGAAGTCTGTAGTCTCTGCCTACCCTTTTGGTGACAGGCGTGAGTGTTTATGTTATGTTATGTTATTTGAATACTATTTTGAGAGCAAAACTACGAGTGTAAAATTTATAATACACAATACGATAAAGTGATACCTTTTATGGATAAAATAAAAAATAAATTATTCTGAGGACATGTTCGAAACAAATTTTAACTTTTAAGGGCGAATATTATTGCAAGTGAATATACCAAATCGAGTGACAAATATTGGTCTCTTGAAACAGTGAACTTCAAACTCCGTTGAAAGGGACATATAATTAAAGAGATAGAGAAAGAGTTAACTTTTATATTAATGTCGTATAACGACAGCGACACGCTGCGCCACAGCTGCGCTACTGCGTGTACTGTAGTACTGCGCGTACTGCGGTGCTGCGGGTACTCACGGGCGGGGTGTTCTTGTGCAGCGTGGCGGAGTAGGGCGCGTGGAAGAAGCGCGGCGGCTGGTCCTGCACGTCGCGCACCGACAGCGACACGCTTCGTACACATCTGCGGTACTGCGTATGCTGTGGTACTGCGCGTACTGCGGTGCTTCGGGTACTCACGGGCGCGGTATTCTCGTGCTGCGTGGCGGAGGAGGGCGCGTTGAGGAAGCGCGGCGGCTGGTCCTGCACGTCGCGCACCGACAGCTACACGCTGCGTACAACACAGCTGCGGGTACTGTGGTACTGCCCGTACTGCGGTGCCGCGGCTACTCACGGGCGCGGAGTTCTCGTGCAGCGTGGCGGAGTAGGGCGCGTTGAGGAAGCGCGACGGCTGGTCCGGCACGTCGCGCACCGACAGCTACACGCTGTGCACACAGTTGCAGTACTGTGGTAATGTAGTACTGCGCGTACTGCGGAGCCGCGGCTACTCACGGGCGCGGTGTTCTCGTGCAGCGTGGCGGAGTAGGGCGCGTTGAGGAAGCGCGGCGGCTGGTCCTGCACGCCGCGCACCGACAGCTACACGCTGCGCACAACACAGCTGCGGGTACTGTGGTACTGCGCGTACTGCGGAGCCGCGGCTACTCACGGGCGCGGTGTTCTCGTGCAGCGTGGCGGAGTAGGGCGCGTTGAGGAAGCGCGGCGGCTGGTCCTGCACGCCGCGCACCGACAGCTACACGCTGCGCACAACACAGCTGCGGGTACTGTGGTACTGCGCGTACTGCGGTGCCGCGGCTACTCACGGGCGCGGAGTTCTCGTGCAGCGTGGCGGAGTAGGGCGCGTTGAGGAAGCGCGGCGGCTGGTCCTGCACGTCGCGCACCGACAGCTACACGCTGTGCACACAGTTGCAGTACTGTGGTACTGTAGTACTGCGCGTACTGCGGAACCGCGGCTACTCACGGGCGCGGTGTTCTCGTGCAGCGTGGCGGAGTAGGGCGCGTTGAGGAAGCGCGGCGGCTGGTCCTGCACGTCGCGTACGGACACTGACAAGCTCGCACGTGCGTCGCGCTGTACACGTCCACCGTCGCGCGCCGCGAGGCTCACTACGTACGCTGACCGGCTCTCGTAATCCAGCGCGCGGGCCAGGAACACGCGCACCTCGTACTCGTTCTCACTTATCTGTTGCCAAAATAAGACTGTTTTTAGTTGACCAAGTGATTTAATACCTAATATAATTTTACCTGTGCAATATGAGTATTTACAACACCTCTCCGGTACAGAAAAAAATCTGGTATAGAGGTTTAAACTATACACAACATTCTATATCTATACACACATATATAACTAGAAAACCGGGTTCGATCCCCGCTGGCGTCTATAAAATTGTTAATTGCAATTTTAAGTGCTGATCTACCACGTGCTCGGCGGTGAAGGAAAATATCGTAAGGAAGTCTGACTGTCTGAGAAATAAGAAAAAAATATTTCGAAGACATGTGAAGTTTGCCAACACGCATAGGGGCAGCGCGGCGGACACTTCTTTGCCCTAAAACCCTCTCAGAAGTGAGGTAAAGCCCAGCAGTGGAACGTAAATAGGCTGTAACTTAACTAACTTAACTATTTCAACAATGATAGTCTGAAATAATCAGCTGAACAAATTATAGCTAGGCAACAATAAAAACTAAATGGATGGATGGACATAAGTATAAAATTGAATAAATATATAACATGGGTACTCATTTCTTTAAAAGGCTCCTGGTACTTGTTGGATTTACTGTATCTACAGTATATATTGTTGTAATTGTATTGTAGGTGTAGGTATTGTATTGTAGTAATAAATTGTTTAAAAAATTCGAAAGTCTTGTGTTAACATACATGGCATATCCAAATGCCACATCTAATTTTTGCATAAATCATCGAATGAGATTGGAATCAACCAAGCTCTGTTTATCTGCTTGAGGGTGCTAGATTCTTTACAATTCTAACAAATCAACCGAATTTGAACGTGATGCAGTATGGCAAATTTTAGTTCCTTTTTTGCACCACCCGCAAAACAGATAACTAGAATTCACTACTGCGGACGTCTCATAAATGGACACTACTGCACCTATTGTGTATTTACATTGAAATTTTGAAAATATTGCACTTTATCCTCATTTTGATGTACTAAAACTGTAAATGATTAACAATTGCACATATTTTGACACAAAACCGGCAGTCAACACTAAAATTTTACGTACATTTGAAGTCAAATTTCCGCAACCAGCATGTTAGTTCTAAGATTGCAGTTTGCTTCATACAAATTAAAAAACAATTTTACATGTACTTAATGAGATAAAACAGAAAATGAGATTACAAATAAGGAGGTTGCTTACCCAGGCATTGTTTTAACACAACTCACCACACAATTAATATAAATTAGTACAAAATAATTGCTAAAAACTTTGTTGTTAGCGCGCGTCAGTCGCACTGATGGCTGACTCAAGGCACGGACGACGTTTTTAGATGGTATATATAAAAAATCCTACCTATGGTAACCTTTTTTATCCTGTACACATCGACATATGGTAGAATGATTTAGACATAGTGCGTAATGCTTTATTTCGACATTAAAAGAGCGGGTAAAAAATGTCCAGTACTTGGACACCCGCAGTCAACGGAGATATTTTCGTGTCCAAGGGTTAGACGTCCGCAGTTCAGAGGTTAATTTTTATATTTTTATAACACCATTTTAGAACAAAACTACTGTACCATGTTGAAGGATAAATTGTTATAATCTTTTTTACATAATATTAAGAGATTTACAATCCGTCTATATAATTTCTCCATATTGCTTATACTTAATGAAACATTTAAAAATCATACCATATCAGTAACTATTTTAAATGTAGAACAAGCTTCGGAATCGCTTCCCTTTTCATCGGTAGAACAGGTGACTTGGACCTTCGCGTTTTCGCCTTCATCACGATCCGTAACCAAAATCTTTGGAAACACCTGTGAGAGAAATAAATAAGTATTATTAAGTAATATTTTAAGAAAAAAGATAAATAAAAAGTAAAAACTGACTTCAATCTGATAAAAGAGTAGTTATTCACTACCCTTAGGGGTGGAATTTTTTCTCCAAATTTATAATGGGACCACCATTGAAGTATGACCTATTTACTAAAAAAGAATCATTAAAATTATCTCACAATCTGCAAGATAAGATATCGCATTACATACATAAGAAAAAACATACACTTGAATTGACAATCCCCTCCTTTCTTGAAGTCTGTTAAAATAGGTAAGCAAATTTTTATAGAATAACAGTGACAAACGAGAGCAGTCAACCTGATGGTAAGTGGATAGAGACGACAATAGACATCTAAATTTATCCTTGAATAAATAGATGCGTTGTCAGCCATGAGGACAATTCATTTCTAGTCAAATTATTTTAAATTATTTAAAGTTGTGTTCTTCTTTTTCATCTCCACTCCTATTAATGATAGTGAACATTGGCCTCGCACGTCGAGGGTAGAATTTATCTTACTTGTCACACTGGACAGACATGACGTTCGCACTCTCAGACAATCACACTGCAAAGGGATGGTTATACCACCATGTAGCGGGATATGTTTCTGGAGACTATTTTCACTGGAAACGAGGCATTTCATTTTAGTCTTTAGTGGTGACAAGTTGTCACTGACAAAATATTTGCATTTTGATTCTTGAGGATGAATGTAGTCGTCTACAGGTCACACCATCCACTTACCATCGGGTGGACTGTGTGCTTGTTTGGCACCCTTATTCTATAGAAAAAAAATACTGTGATTACCAATCCGCTTTCGAAGCGTAGTAATAAACGTCAAAATTTCTTAATGTAGGATGAACCTGTATCCGGCAGCGGTCTATTTAAGGCTCAATATGAGAAGAAATAGTTGCATAAAAATGAACTAAAAACTAAACTTTGACAATTTCAGAATTAGTGACTATATCCCATAATCGCAGAAAAGTAGCCTATATGTTGTTGTTCCTGAAATAAGATTAAGATAAGACCTAAGGTAAAATAACTGATAGTATGTAATTATACTGTCTCTTACCTTTTAAATTCGAAAGGAACAATATATATGTATTGCTAATTTTATGACTCAATATCATATTGTTATCGTAGATTATACATGATAGTGTCATGCTACAGCTATAATATGGTTGTAGTACGAATGGGTTGGCTCGAACGGGAAAGGACCACGCTCACACAGAATATCAACATAAAATAAGCAGCTTAATATGTCTGTATTTCATATGGCGAGTGTAGAGATCCGGATACCCTTTTCCACTGGAAAAGATTCTGCAGATGCATTCCATCTTTGTCCTCATGGATGACAACGCATCTGCATTTTGATTCTTAATCAAGGACAAATGTAAATGTCTATGTCACCCTTATTCTAAAAAAAATCTTCTAATTTCAATAAGGCGTCGCACTAAATACACACCTCAATTTCGGTGCCAACTGGCGTGGCCTCGCTTACGTTGACAATGTACGGCCGGTTGTGAAACGCAGGCGAGTTGTCATTCACGTCTTTAACTGGTATAACCCGCCGTAGGGATACGGTATTTGGTTCTGTGTTCGCAATTCCTTCATCTGAAATTAAAAATTTTACCATCGTTGATCTATACATAAATAAAATTGAATAGTCAATTAAAATCGATTTATTATTTTATTATCTATACTTTTTTTTTGGTGGGCAACAAGTAACAACTGTCTAATTAGCTCATTATATTTTATTTACATTTAAATATTTTAAACTTGTGTTTGGACTATATTTACTCACAAATTACATCTTTATCACCTTTTATTTGGAAGTCATATTGAAACATATGTCCAGATAAAATATTTGTGACTTATACCACCCATCAGTGTAACGTTTTTTGCAAACTATATCGCTCACTAGCAATTCACTTCATGTTTACCAATATTACTGGATATATTGCAAGTAATGGCAAAAGTGTCTGATGTGGAAGTCATGCAGAGAGAACTTGAAGGCAGCTGGAGTCGCAAGATGGCTGATTTTGAAAACAGATTAAAAAGGCTGCTTCTACACCAACTAGTACCTCTCTTAAATAGAAAACAAATTCGTGAGGAGTTTTATGAATTCAAAGACCTTATTAGCTCTGTGCTCAATCACTTTCGGCATCAGATGCCTGCCTGTACTATGACAATTGATGCTATTGATATGCACCACAGGCAGAACGTTCTATTTAATGGGATCGTCGACTCTCCTGATGTTAACATTGAACAAAAAATAATAAGCATCATACATAACAAAATGGGTATCCCATATGTAACAAATGTATCCTTAATGATTTCTTATATTTACGCGAACACTATACATGATTAAAACTACTTTTACGGATTTTATTGCGTTTATTTTTACTTTTTATTTACTTTTATTTTTAAGTAAAAATAAACGCGATAAAATCCGTAAAAGTAGTTTTAAAATGTATCCTTATCACGTTGTTATCGAATTGGTTCATAAAAAAGCACGCAAGCATTTTGGATTGAAGAATGTGTGGACCTTAGATGGCACAATTTTTATCCAACTTCCCAATAACAAACAAGCAAATATCTCCACTGAGGAGGAGATTGATAGTCTCATTGAAAAGTTTCCTGTCAATTGTTCACCAACAATACATGATGTAGCTTCTAATAGTGGCGTCACTAATGTTGCAAAGAAGCCCTTTCAAGCAAACAGCAAAGTTCATCAAGTACAAAAAGTCTGTGTGAGATTTCTCGGCGTAATCAAGATGTGGGGCAGAAACAGGAGTCTAAAAGGTCCCGCCGTTTAATAGCTTACTTAAGAAATATTTTTCATACAGTATCCTTAGGTATCCTTCTTTTACTGTTTTTTTTTATATATCAAGTAATTATTTCATTGCTCTGATTATATCTGTAGCATAGAACGCTATTATGTATTTAGTTCTGTTTTATTACATATTTTTATTGTAGTTTTAAATTCTTTTCTTTGTAATATAAACTCCTTAGGAATTTTTATCCTTGTAAATCAAAATTGATTAAGCATAGTACATAATTTGCATAAGCTTAGTTTTCTTTTAGTTTCTAGGCAGAGGAGTGTTACTTAGTAGATTTATCTATGCTCTGCATTATGTTAAATGGTAATAATCCAATCATATTCATCTTTACAATCGGTGCTAATACTTATATAAATGTACCACACATATAAACGGTATTTTCCATTAGCTTGCTACATATTTATTTTTCTATGTTTTCCATTTTTAATTTTGAATTGAATGGGTGCGTTTGGCAGAAAAAAGCGCTAGCAAGCGCTTACAAGCGCTGAAATAGTTTTCGGCCAGGACACGATTGCTACTTTAGTAGCGCTGACACAATCCGCCATTTTGCTTATTTAATTTGTTTGTTTTGAAGTAGAGTTTATAAGTTGTTTTGTGCAATATTAGTTTTAAGTAATATAATGACATGAATAAACATATACATGTTATTAAAAATTCATGATTAGTAAGTTTTTAATATGAATACTTTACAAACATATATTTAAATTAGGTTAGGTTCCCCGGTTAAAACTAACATCGTGTCCTAGAGGAAAATAGCTACTTACGATTTGACAGCGCTTACCGCTTACGATCGCCATTTTGCTTACAAGCGCTTGCTAGCGCTTTTTTCTGCCAAACGCACCCAATAATTGAATTAGACATTATATTTTTTTAACTCTTTATAGACAAAGGACAAATGTACCATACAGCCAATATCGATTATATACTTATACTTTGATTTTGTAATCGATTTATTTTGGTATTTTTGTTTATTATGTTGTGCGGATACCTATTTTGGAACATTAATGTTTTTATTAGCCTAAAATATTTTGCCAACTAAGATATCATAGATTATACTTAAGTTTGCAAGTTTTAGTTTATAAATTAGTCATAGTTTACATACCTTACTTTTATATTTATATTATATTCCTTTTTATTTGTTTTATATTTATTTAATTTGTGTATTTTGTTACTATATGAATTATGCCTGATGTCGAGTCGTTTAGCTCTGCAAATGATTCTTATGCCTTGTCATTTTACTCTTTTGACGATTCTTTCAACGACAGCGTGCTTGATTTACACCAACTACTCAGAGGAGTTTTTGCGTCTTTTAACAACTCTTTGAACATGTCATATAAACGCGCAAAGTATCCCGAGCCACTATACTGAACTCGAAGCTTCATTTACGCCCGAGCATATTCATGCCATATTAGTGTCGGAAAGTTGGCTGAAATCTTCTTTACCGTCGACTTTACATCCACTACCCGGTTTTGAACTTATTAGGAATGATCGTATTGGAAAAGTTGGAGGTGGTGTAGCCATCTACCTACACGCATCAATTCCTCATAAAATTGTTTTAGCATCTCCTTCCTCTTACTCCGCCTCTACTGAGTTTTTATTTGTGGAAATCGATGTCAAGGGTATAAGGATGCTTCTAGGGGTAGTATATAGCCCTCCTTCGATAAACTACTTCGCTACTTAAGATATGGCTCTTGTTGATATTTGTTCGGGGTACACACACTGTATAATCATGGGTGACTTCAATACAGATTTGTTGAAAAACTCTTTTCGTTCCAATAAGCTTCGTTCAATTGTTGAGTCTGTTAATCTTTCTGTTCTCCCTTTAAAGGCTACTCATCACAATATTGGAACTGATGACTCATTGATTGATCTTATATTTGCTGCCTCTCCTGATCGTGTAATGTTGCATGGTCAGTTACCTTCTTTGGGCATCTCACGTCACAACTTGATTTACGCTTCGTATAAGTTAAACCTCCCAAATATTTCCCTTATGAACTGCATCTACGCAGTTTTTCTAAAATAGATTTCGACAAGCTAAGGAATGACGCTCTTAATCTCGATCTAGCCTCATTTATTGCAGCACCTACTGTTTTTGACATTGTCTAGCATATATATATGTGTGTGTGTGTATATATATTAAGTTGTTGACATTTTTATTTTATTTTATTCTATATTCCCACACCTACGTCAAATTCTCACCACACCATGGGTTGACTGGTAGAGAATGAATTAAGTCCTCCCTTTTATTTTTATATATTAATAAGGAATGCAATAAAGAATAAATAAATAAATAAAAAACATACAAATTCAGCTATATCGAAATGACTGCCTTATATTGAACCAAGAGAGTTATTTGCATGCCATTAAGACCTAAATAATTGAACAACGATTTCGAATTATTTTTTTGCTTGTCTGTCTGTCTTTTCTTGCTATCTTTGGAACTGATGAACCAAATTGTTAAACTACACGAGAGAGCAATGCTAGGACTGATGAAGGCTATACTTGATACTAAAAATTAGGGTTTTTTTCTTTAAAAAACGAAAACACCACATTGATAGATCCTATCCAGGCGAAGCTAGTCGCCAGTATAAAACATAATAAGTTAAACGATTAAAACGAAATCGATTACCTCCAAACGCACGAAATATTACAGTAACTTTAAAATAAGGTTTTATAATGTTTTAATTACGGTTATATAAAATTAATAGTGTCAATATTATAGACGTCTTTTAGAAGAATATTTATCACCTGTTATACTAATGATGACTTCCAATGTCGCCTGTTCCTCTCGATCCAAAGTCTTGGCTAACGTCACCACACCCGTCAGAGAGTCAACGCCGAAGTACTGTCCGGATATCGAATACCTTAATTGACCATTTTCTGGGTCGATACCTGAAAGCAAGACAAAGTTCGACATAGTTAAAATATCAAAATACATATAAATACTGGCAATAAATACCATTTTATCTCGTGGGTGTCACACAAGTCAATTTTTCTACGAAATCGCCGCAAAGGCGCTCTAGTTCTAGTTCAATAGACGGATCCATAGAATACTATAAATACACAATAGAATGGCTGTCAACCTTATTTTGTATCGATGTTCGGCGTCGCCGGGAGCACACATACAAGCAATTACGTTGTATTATCAGTTAATCACTACTACAAACCCGATTCGCTGTGTTGACAGACGGATTTTCATCATCATCATCATCATTACAGCCCTTCACAAGTCCACTGCTGAACATAGGCCTCCCCCAAGTAATGCCACAAAGCACGGTCCTGAGCCACCTGCATCCATCGACTTCCTGCATGTCTTACCAGGTCGTCACTCCATCTAGGGGGGTCGCCCTACACTACGCCTACCGGTACGAGGCTGCCACTCGAGAACCTTTCTTCCCCATCGGTTATCTGTTCTTCGAGATATATGGCCGGCCCATTGCCACTTCAGCTTACTAATCCGTTGGGCTATGTCGGTCACTCTGGTTTTACTGCGGATATCCTCATTTCTGGGTCTATCACGCAGTGAAACTCCGAGCATAGCCCTCTCCACAGCTAGCTGAGCGACTTTGAGCGTCCTTATACGGCCAGCGGTGAAGGACCACGTCTCAGATCCGTAAGTCATCACTGGCAACACGCACTGGTTATACACTTTAGTTTTCAGAGATTGAGGTATACCTGACGAGAAGATGTGTCGTAATATCCCGAACGCTGCCCAGCCAAGTTGAATCCGTCGATTGACCTCTTGGTCGAAGTTGGACTTACCTAGTCAGACTATTTGTCCCAGGTAAACGTACTCGTCAACAACTTCGAGCATAGTGCTCCCAACAACTACCGGTATAGGTGTGACATGGACATTAAACATGATCTTTGTTTTGTCCATGTTCATCTTAAGACCTATCCGTTGGGAGACACTATTGAGGTCATTGAGCATAGTGCTAAGGTCCTCCAGCGATTCTGCCATAAGGACTATATCGTCGGCAAATCGAAGGTGAGTGATGTACTCGCCATTGATGTTAATACCGTACCCTTCGGCAAATTGTACAGAAGTCCCGAAGAGTACAATCTGCCAATTTGCCTGGCGTATGTGGACTATGAGAAAGCCTTTGATTCCGTCGAAATTTGGGCGGTGCTACAGTCTCTTCAGCGGTGCCTAGTTGACTATCGGTATAGACGGATTTTAATACATATTTATTTGTAAATAGCGTGCAATTTGGCATTTCCTAACTAATTTGCATGCGAAATTTCGAAATGATTGTAACGTCAAAACACCTCTCGTGTTGACATTTATACGTGTGAATTGACGTCTTGTGGTATTTTTTGTGGCTACACTGGCTCTGCCCACACCCCCGTTATATTATGTATGTAATATAGTATTCTATGGACGGATCGGAGAGCCTTTTTATTAGTAGCGAGGTTAGTCCTCATGGGTAAAAACTTATCTACATTTGATACTTCGTCGATGATGGATGTAGATGTCTGTGCGCCAGTGCATCAACTTACCATCAGGTGGACTGTGTGTTCGTTTGTCACCTTTAATATGCTAAATATAGATGATATATAGGTAGTTGCTACACTAAACTGAATTTATTGTCATACTAACTTGCCAGGCAGACGTTGTTCTGCCCTTTTCAACGACCCTTTGTCATGTCCCATTAAAAACCCTTAAATTCGCGAAAAAAAATTGTGGGTCACTCATGGGCAAAAAAACTGTCCTATCTCTCATGTTGGACCAAACTGCACACGGTGTGCAAATTTGATTAAAATCGGTTCAGTAGTTTAGGAATCCATGGCGGACAAACAACGTGACACGTAATTTATATTATATTAAGATTATTAAGATAAAATCATTGAATAAAGATATATTTTCAATAATATTAGGAAATCAAAAATAAAAGAGGCTTGCTGCTATTTTTATTACTATGGAAGAATTAATTAAAATAGATAATAAATTATTATTAATGTCAAAATTTAAAAAAAAAACTATTTTTAATATATACCCAGATTTAGTTATTACGTTTCTTAATTATCTCTCTCTATGGAAGCAAATTTAAAAGACGTATTCAAGTTAAAAATAATTACCAATTATCACTACATACTATAAAAGCCCACTTAGGTCTCTCTCATAGATTGCCTCATAGTGAGAATTTAGCCATAGTTGCCACGCTTGGCAAGCGGGTTGGCAACTGAAGTTTTTTAATATTTTGAGTTATCAGTTACATACTGCTGCCCATCTTCAGCTTAAGTTTCCTTCCGTCGCCTCTTATGACACCCACGATATGGGGTATAGGGTTGATAAAAATAATGTTACCTTTTAATTGGTATACCGGTGTCCCAACTGGCGTATCTTCTGACAAACTGAACTGAGACATGTCACCCGTCTGCGGTACAAAGTGCGGTGCCCTGTTTATCACTTGTGCGGTGCAAATTTGTAGCAAGCACACAATCAGCAGTATTATTACAGGATTCGCCGCGCTGAGTACTGTCGCTACTTTGCGTTTTTGGAATACGATTTCCGCCATCTGCAATGAGAAAATATTTTATAAGGTTTTTTTATAGGATAGGGTGACAAACGAGCACACAGTCCACCTGATGGTAAGTGGTTGCTGTGGCCCATAGACATCTACATCTATCCTCGATTACGAATCAAAATGCAGTTGCGTTGTCACCCGTGAGGACTAAGATGGAATGCCTCGTTTCCAGTAAAAAGGGTCTCCGTTTCTCTACACTCACCATACGAATCACAGCAGCGTTAAGCTACTATTTTACGCTGGTATTCTGTGAGAGGGTGGTCCTGCCCCGTGCGAGTCGACCCATTCGGGCTACAACTATAATATAGCTGCAGCCTGGCTCCACCACGTAAACCCAATTATTTATTTCGTTACTGTAACAGTCAGGAATTCACTAGTTCACATACGCACACGTAAACTCAACTCACGTTTCACTACACGTTCACTCTCGCCCGCGGCTCTCGTGATACTGACGCTTTGCGTTCGAAATAGTGGACATTTATACTTGTGTTTTAACAGACAATATAAATGATACTACCTTCATTTCGATCTATGAGCATTTTATAATCACAAATACCAATCAAAATTTAACTAATGACATCTTTGTCCATTCCGCTGCTGATGTCCGGTTCTTGACTTTCTTGTTCATCTTTGTTGGAGACATTTCTCCATTCGCCTTCTACTTTTTTTCAAATGTACTATATTGCTCCTGTACTTTTGACCAGTTTGAGCTTTATATGGTATGAGGAATGGGATTGAAATAAGAGGTCAATTTATTTGGTCTTTCCATTGCTTTTACGTAAACTTTGTCACCTTCCACTATTTTTAAATTAGTAGCTCTTTCGCTTCCTGTCGGCATACTCTTTTCCTTTTGTTTTTGTTCTCCGTCTCTATCTCTTATTTCCATGTCATCTGTTCTGTTGCAGCACCAGTCGAGTGAGGAGACTTTATCTCTATTCTGTCTTTTAAGGAAAAGTTAAGATGGTGTCCTTCCAGTCACCATATGGGGTGTCGTGTGTCATTATGAGATTTCTTTCATAGTGACTTATTCGTAGCAGTTTTAATATATCTTGACTTTGTCTTTCAACTTCACCATTCATTTATGACCAGTACGGTACAGTGTTAAAAAGCTTAAAGCCGCACTCATTCTAGAATGATTTAAACTCGTCTCTCATAAATTGATAACCATTGTCAGCTGTGAGTGAGACAGGATATCCTAGTCTGCTGAAGATTTCCTTTAAGATTTTAATTATCTGTAAACTAGAAATTGCCTTTTCCAATTTTATTTCTTTGTATCTACTATGATAATCAACAACAACTACTGCATAGTTATTGTTTGGAAGTGGTCCTAACAGATCTATTGGGACGTCTACCCATGGAGCCGCCGCAGGTAATTCATGTCTTTTCAATGGATTAAAAGGATTTGGTAATCTTACTATAGTGCAACTTTTACGTGCCTTTACTAAATTCTCAACATTTTTGTTGATTCTTGGCCACCATACTTTTGTCCTTAAACGTCTCTTCATTGCAACTGTACCGGGGTGACCTTCGTGGGCAGCTTCTAACACTCTTTTACGGAGACTATGTAGTATGACTATTTTATTTCCCCGAAGTATGATGCCTACATAAAAACATCTCAGTTCCAAAGATGCGGTAATTTTTTACAGATTCATTCCAGTTGTGTGGATATATGCCCTTTTTATGTTTAGAGTATCTTTATCAGTTTCAGATGCTACTTAATTTCCCACAATGGTACAGCTATTGATCTAAAACTTTCAACAATCTGTTACACATGTTAATCGCTTCCAGAAGAGGGACTTTTGGTGCAGTAACATAACCTTGATAAAGGGTCTGCGATATAATTGTAGTCGCAATATCCATCGCTCTATTCGTGCACAAGGTTTTGATTTGGGTCCAAACAGAACTTCTAAAGGCATAGGCACCCTTCGGTAGGTTGAGAACCAACGGTGCACTCTATATTAGAATTATTGTCAATTTAAAAAACGTAGTCGACTTCTTCATTTTCTACATCTTTTCTTTCTGACGTTCTGTATTTTTTCCAATTTTTACTATTATTATTCCCAGAGTCCTCTAAGCTTCTTTTCAGAGCTGTTAATTTTTTTCTTCTGCAATACGTACGAAACTGCCCCATTTTAGAGCAAGAAAAACACTTTTCCCCTGGCACACGTAAACTCAACTCACGTTTCACTATACGTTCACTCTCGCCCGCGGCTCTCGTGATACTGACGCGGTGCGCTCGAAACAGTGGACATTTATACTTGTGTTTTAACAGACAATATAAATAATACTACCTTCATTTCGATCTATGAACATTTTATAATCACATACACTACATCTCTTTCTTGTTACAATTTTTAAATTTACAAATTCTACTAATCACTAATCAAATTCCAATCAAAATTTAACTAATGACATCTTGGTCCATTCCGCTGCTGATGTTCGGTTCTTAACTTTCTTCTTCATCTTTGTTGGAGACATTTCTCCATTCGCCTACACTACAGTTACCAATCAGCAGTACCTGCACTGCTATATTTCGTTCTGCAGGTTAAACCTGCCTTGGTCGGGGGTGATAACGCATTTGTAGCCTTCTCTCTTTATAATAAGTTACAGGTGTAGGTTGACTCAGTCAGGTAGACTGTAAGTTCTTTTGTGACTTCAATGTTATAATAAAAGGAAGGCGGTTTGTTTTTCGTTAGAAAAGACGTCTTCAGTCCATAACAGGCAACTTTGACGCTTATTCCCATGACAATTTGAATATACGGAATGTTTTTTGACCGTCTGGAAAAAATAGTGTGTAGCAGGTGAACGGAATAGAAGCCTATGGCATTGATATTTCACATTAACATATGAAATTGATCTAAATACTTCTAATTAAGTGCGCATTATTTTAATTTCCATAGTTTTTAATTGATTTATTTACAAAGTTCAAATTTTTTGTTTTAATTTTTTTATTACCGAAAGTTTATTTCAAATTAGTGGTATCCGTTGATAGATCAATTGCATAATTTGTTAATATAAAAGCAAAAAAAAAAAAAAATATAAGTGCTATACGCTTCTATTTCGTTCACCTGTTACACCCTTTTTTTACCAGACGGAAAAAATATCACACAGTATATTCAAATCGCCATGGGAATAAGCGTCAAAGTTGCCTGTTATGGACTGAAGACATCTTTTAAAAACCGCCTTTCTTTTATTATAAAATTGAAGTGACAAAAGTGCTAACACACACCTACACATTCAATTTCTATCTCTCTCTCTCTCACACACACACACACACACACACACACACACACACACACACACACACACACACACACACCGCACACGCACACGCACTCGCACACGCACTCGCACTCGCACACGCACACGCACACGAACTTGCACACGCACACGCACACGAACACGCACACGCACACACACATGCACACGCACACGCACACGCACGCACACTCATACACATCACACACACACACACACACACACACACACACACACACACACACACACACACACACACACACACACACACACACACACACACACACACACACACACACACACATGCACAAACACACACAAACACTTACATATTTTGTAATCTGCTACAGTGAGGTAAAATAGTAGGTAACGGACCGTAGAAACCCGTGCACTCAAATAGCTCAATTACACAATCCGTTAAAACAAAACGAAAGAGTCGGTTTTTCGGTCAGAGCTCAAAACAATTGAATAGTTATGTTACGAAAGTCACCACGTGAAACGCCTCCAACTTGACCTCCACTTAAATTGAATATCGAAGAATATTTTTGTAATCTATGGTTGTAATATTTTTAGCTAGCTCTGCGACATTTTAAAGTTAAACCGTTGTATTAATATTATACTAAAACTGTCTTGTGTGAACGATGTGAACGAATCATTCTGATGGACGACCATAAAATTTAAAGATTACTATAATAAAAATAGAAAAGTCAAAATTAAAAAAGGAACTTTAATTGCATTTTTTTATTTTAGAAATAAGAGATTATTTTTTTTTAAAGTATCGTAAGCAATAATACATAAATCAATTAGCAATTCACCCCGGCTTCATACGGGCGATTTTTGTATCTCGACAACAGCACGACCTATCGGTTGCTATTGTTAATATACATCATCCAGTATAAACCAACTCAAACGCACAAAACAAATTCATCAAAATCGATCCAGCCGCAACTATCCATGGGGAGTTCAGTGACGCACGTACAAAAGAATTATATGATATAGAAAAACTTGTGGTCCGCCCCGGGTTCTCGCAGATGATTTCTGGATCTCGATGAAGTTGCGATGAAAAGTATTTTTATATAGGTATACTATGTCGTATTTTGGTAGCGTGAAAGACCCTACCACCCCACATCATCCCTTGGGTGTCGTAAGAGCAAACAGGAATAGGACATGAAAATCTCAAATAAAAATCTTCGTAAAAAGATTAGTACTCGTACACTAGAGTATACCACCAGTGACCTCACTGGACTCATTCGAACGCGTGAACTCAGGCGAGTGTGCTGTTTGAAGGATAATATTACCTAGTCGACCGTAATCGAGCTACCTACTTAATATATTTGTTCATTGAATTTAGGGTTGTCAGTTTGTTGTTACCTTGTCAGAATCAATAATTCAATTTCATTCCATGTCGAGGCGACTTTGAAATCTTATTATTGTTGATTATGTTATATGAAGAAATTAATAGAATTGAATAGTTATTTTTATTTTTCCATGGCGCAGTAACTTAGCAATAAGTTGCGCCGCTGAGGGCTGTGGGTTCGAATCCGTACGAAACAAGTATTTGTGTGGCCCACAAATACAATGATGTGTCTTACCTGGATTGAAGAGCACCTCCCGCCCTCCCTCAATTGCGTGCACTAATTCCGTCACCACTAGTCCCTGCACAATTACCCCAACACCACTACTCCCGGCACCACTACTTCCAACACCACTATTCCAGGTAAGACACACCATCG